TTTGTGCACAGATATTGCCAGAAGAAATTTGCAAAGTTATGAAATTGGTAATTAAGATTATCAACTCCATTATAGCTAAAGCTTTCAGTTATTGCCAGTTTAAAGAATATTTATTTGAAATGGAGAGTGAGTATGCAGATCTTCTGCTGCATAACAAAGTATGTTGGTTATCAAGAGGAAATGTTTTGAAACGTTTTGCATCCTTATTAACAGAAATGAAAGCATTTCTCCTTAAAAAGGGTATTTATTATCCAAAACTAAAGAATAATCAGTGGATCCAAAAATGTTATTTCATGGAAGATGTAACATCTCATCTAAATCAGCGTAATCAAAAACTACAGGGGAAAGTAAATGCAATTTTTTCGATGTTAGAAGTTTTTTGTTTAAAATAAAATTAGCTCTTTTTGCCCAAGGTTTTGAAAGAGAAACTTTGATTCACTTTCCAAGCCTCTTGAAACATCACCAAGAAAATAATTCCGTTATTGATATTTGCTATTTCAAAACAACAGTTTTAAATATGAGAGAAGATTTTCTCAGCAGATTGCAAGAATTCAGAAACACATTATCCCTTTTTTTTTTTTTTAATTAAAAAAAAAACTCTTAATAGTACTGTAACAGAATTAAATTTTTCTGCCTTTAATATTGACATTGGCAACTTTGGAATCCAATTGCTGGGTTTAAAAAACAAAGAATTATGGAGCTTGGAATTTGAACGTCTTATCTCTTGATATAAAAACATTGGAGAAAGAGCTTATTTCACAACAAAAGTTTTCTGCCTGAAGAAGAAAGACATGTTGATTTTTAAACACATGGAATAGTATTCCTGACTCATATAATCAGCTGGAAAAAACTAGTGTTTTCTGGTCTTTCCTTCTTTGGGTCTACGTACAGCTGAAGCAATCATTAGTACCTTTGACCGATTTTAACTATTAAACAGGATATTCTTTTTCAGCTAAAATATCACTTGGAATACATCCAGCCAAAATCTGAAGAGCTGCTGTCAAAAGAGTTCTTTTTAGAACTGTTTCGAGTTCTAAAAACTTTACTTAGTAATTCCTAAGAGAGTATTCCTTTTAATTTGTAATATTTTTTATGCGCATTTGGAACGAAACAGTCCACCATGAACCACATGTATACAGAGTTTTTCTCTCAATAGCTCTGTTATGTAAACTCTTAAGTACTTTATCTTGGAGATTCATTTTATTGAGTCTGTTAAGAATGTAAATACACTCGGTTTTTATTTGATCCAAGTGTGGTATAAAAGTAAGCTTTATGTCAGTCCTAACTCCCTGATATTTAATTGTCTTAGAAACCCTGACTGATTGATCATACAATTTATACCAAGGATATATTGATCTAGTATTACCATTTTTGCTATACCCAAAAGGAAACTTTTCTTTGGATCGAACTTAACTTGCAAAGACCACTTCTCTAACTCTTGAGTGGCACAACTTAATGCACTATCTTATAGTAGGACGACCACTTGCAGTGACCAATAAAATAAAGTCCTCAACATAGGCTTGTATACCAATAGTTTGTGTTAGTGTAACATTTAATGCTATATTCAATATGGTATTCCATATCAATGGACCAGATATTGATCTTTGGGGACAACCCCTTTCATAATTTCTACAATACCACTTGTTGCCATCATAAAAGAGACTTTCCTATCATTCAAAAAATCATATCAATAAAAAGATATTTCTTGGACATTTCATTTAATAGAATCAGCCACCAAACATTGAAAGACCACTTGACATCTGAAGATAAAATTGCAGTATGTTTACCTTCCCTTCTATTTCGAAGGGTTTCAGAAATTAAATTCACTGTAGCCTGGGTAGTAGTACCTTTACCCGGCATAAAATCATATGGATTCTTGTTTAAAAGATTATTTGTTAAATAATTTTGTAATCTTTGCGTCATAAGTTTATCCTGCACCTTTTCTCAAAATGGCAATAAACAAATGAGGCAGAAAGAGGAAGGATCCTTTTTATCCTTTCTTTCTTTATTAAATAAAACTAATACAGCTTTTCCCCAACATTTGAGGGAAATCCCTCTTTGAAGACATTCGTTCAAAATAACTACAAAAAACTTATTATTACATTCAAAACTTTTCTTGAATAATCTCCATAGAAAGGCCATCTTTGCCAGGAGCTTTGCCCTTATTCAACATTTTTAAGAGTAAATTGTACTTCATCCAAAGTAAAGTCGTAATCATTTATCATATCTGGAGGTATCCTGCAGTCTAGTTTAATTTGATGATGAATTGATAAATCATCCTGAGTATTTTGGCAAGAAAAATTATATTGTAGGAGATAATTTTCAGCCTCTTCTATATTTTAAGTGTAGGATCTATCTTGATATTTCAAAGAGGTGATCGATAAGGTTGGTTTATATTTATTAGTAGCGATATGATAAGGAATGCCAAAAGGTTGGTTAATATTCAATGTATATCACATAGTTGTTTCCATGTGCATTTCTTGCTCATATTAATCTCTCATTTATATTCAGCCAGTTTCTTTTTATATTGAATCTTTAACGTATTCCTCTTTATTTGATTATAAATACATCTCTGTAATTTTCTTCTAACGAGTCGAGCTTGACTCCACAATACAGCTAATTTTTTAGACCACCAATATGCTTGTTTCCCGAAAACAATATTCTGTTTTGCATGATTCTTCCTTTTGTTTTTCTTATGAATATTTACTATTGAATATGTAAGATCTTTAACATGAAGATTTAAATCAGATATATTTTCCATATTTTGTTCAGAAACTTGCATAATAAAACTCTGCAATTCTGAACGGAAATCTGACCAATTTAAAATCCAAATGTAAAATCATTCACATGTCTTCTCTCTAGAAGAGTTATGTAAAATATCAATCTCAATATGGCAATGATCACTACATGAGATATCACTAGAAACGGACTGTATTATCCGCAACATAAGGTTCTTGTAGCTGGGCTATTTTATAGTCTCTTTCAATAGTTTTAATGTATAACTGATTTGTTGCAGCTTTAGCATGATGTAAATTTATTTGAACCATTCTTAAATGCTCATGATTTGTACTAGCTATAATTCATGTGACTAATTAAGAAATCCATTTGTTGCTTATGACAATGACAATTTTTATGTAGACTGGAATGCTCAATGCTAAGCTTCAACTTGTATTTATCATTAGCTTCTTGACAGTTGGGAGTGCAAAGCAATTTATGCAATGCTTTATGCCTGGTTTCACCACATCTTGCACATATTTGTGATTCTTGGCATTTTGTTTGAAAACGCCCATACTTCGAGCACTTAAAATATTATGTTACTTTCAAGAATTCTTTTATCCTAAGGCGGGACCACCATATGTTAAGTTCACCAACCTTTATTAAGGCCCTATATTTCTTTGCATGTACACTAGCAACTCAGTGTACTTTATTATTTTAGCCTTTGATCGAAAATTTCAATTCAAAGCCACTATCTTTAAAGACCATACTTTGGTCTCTGATCATTGTCTTGAGGTCTTCTTGAGATAGGTCAGAATCTACATCATGGCTAATAATTTTTGGATCTATTTTAACAGAACATTGTATCACCACTTCATTTTTATGTAGTTCATTTGATTTAACCTCTGTTTCCAATATAAGATTTAGAACATTTATTAAGATTAGAAGCTACTCAATATAAGGTTTAGAACATTTATTAAGACTCCTCTTTTATTTATCTTCCTTATTCTTTTCACACCAGTATGTAATTAGGTAGGATCAATCGAATTCACAATTTTATTTTTAACCTTCTTGGAAGTAACTCCATCCTTTCTTGGATAAAGTAGTACTGTAAAGTCTCCAGATCTACTTCTACTAGTAGATATTTCATGGTTTTTCTGCATTATCCTCTGAAGATATAGTTTTGGATCTGCCACTGTTGCATACAAGAGGCTGAAGAGTCGATATTGCTGTGTGTTCTTCAAGCCTTCCCTTGAGAATCTCATTATCAACAGTTTGTGTAATCAAAAAGTAAAAAATATGTTGTGCCATAGAAAAACTTTTTCCTTTTAAAATATTCGTGACTAGTTGAGTTTTCTAATGAATTTATAGTTCATCCATATGTTAGTAAGGCAGTAGAGTCCACAGACTGTCTGAATTTCTTGAGATTTTAGTCCAGCCAGTAGTACGCTGGAGTTCACACTAGCTGGAAGGTGCTAGGTTTAGACCACTTCCCCTCAGAGAAGGAAGTCCCCAGACCACAAGGTACTCAGCAGTGGGGAAGTTTGTTGAAAAAGATAAAATATATCAATAAATGATCTTCAAGAGAAAAATACTTTGCATAATGTTCACTCGCTCAACTAGTACTTTTCCTGAGGGAAGCATTTGTTTTTACCCTAATGTGCTATTGGTGCTAAATTACGCTATTTCGTGACAATTTTTTTACTCGTAGTTTTGTACATGGTTTGTGATAGCTTTGCAAGTATCTCATTTCCTTTATTTTTCATTAAAAATGTTTCTAAAATTTTAAATTATTATGGTTACTTGTGCTTTCTGGTCAGTTGAATGCCATACAATCAGGCTTTTATGGTAATCTGTTAACCTTGCTTCTAATAATCTTCTAACTGACTTTTGTATTGTTGATTGATGTATTTGTCGCAAATTGTTTTAGCTTGGTATTTAAACTTTCTGAGTGTTTTACAACTTCTTGCTCTTTAACTGGTCATGTGGAAATGAATGCACAGAGCTATGATATTGCAATATTAGCTCACTTCGTATGCAGCAGCAATTATAATGTCATCAAAGTGCTCACAACCCTGAGATAGTTATATTGTTGTTAACTTTACATTTCTTATTTTCCCCCTTTGATGTAGGAGCTGAATGTATGTGAATAAGACATGTAATTTTCCATTCTTTTGATATTTTTCAATTAACTTTTTGGGCAATCTAGCATTTCATAAGTTTTCATAGAAACTTATAATTACATTTAATTGCTTTGTAATATATGTATTGTTTTTATCTTGCAGACCTTCACATAATCCAGAATTGCAAGTTATCTTAAGTCGTTCTAAGAAGCCAAATGCTGCTGCAATGGGGTGTGCTGGTAAGATTCTGCTGAATTCTTTGTCTTGATGTAACAGATAATAAAATTTTTCAGATTTTAATCAGAATTTATAATTTCTGCTGAAGGCCTGTTTTTCTAAAAACGTAGTTGACATGATTTCTTTTATGTTGCATAAGTAAATGCATATATGAGATGCTATCAGAGAGTTCCCATTCTATTGCTATTGCAACTACCTCATGATTATAAAAACAGAATTAGATCAGGGTCATTATTCCACAATCCTCCTGCATCATTCTACCATTTAATGTTGAAGTGTATGTATTATTTTATACATGTTTCTATTTAGCTTCATGCATTTTATGGTTTCGGCAGAAGATAGCAAAAGTATGCATCAGATTATGTGTGAAGCTGATAAATGTGCTTAAAATTCATGATATATTGCTTGATACTTGATATACGCTTCTGATGAATTCTGATTCATGATATATGCTTCTGATGAATCTTTAAATGTGATAATGGTTTTTTTAGTGCATTTGCTTTTCAAGCATATTGATGATGCATTTCAAGCATATGTATTCACACATATTTTATAGCATATTGATGATGGTGATGCAATGTTGAGCATTTGGGGTGAACAAGTGTTAGTAAAATGATGGAAAATATTGAATAAATTTGAAAATTCATTCATGTAGGTTGTCACCAAAGCTGAATGGCCTTCTTGAGGTTAACGAGAAACCTAAGAATACATATTTTGTATTTAAAGTCACAATGGGGGATAAAAATTCAATTTAAAACCTAGAAATAAAGTAGGAGTTCATATTAAACCTTTTTCGAAGAAACTGGAATTAATTGTTCAGGAGTTTTTCCCTCTTATTATCATGTTTTAAGGAATTTGAAAGAATATGTGCACCAAAGAAAACTGGAATGCTGATGCAGTTGCAACTGGCTGGTTCGTCTTGATAGTCTGTCTGCCATTACACCTCTGAAATCATATTGCAATTAAACTTCATGATTATACTTCTCACTTTCGGCTGCATAACATAACCTAGCTTCCTATTATTTTACTATGTTACCAAACTGAAAAGGAATGTTATCTTGAAATTGCATCTGACTTCAGTGAAAAGTGTAAGTAGTCTTTAGTAGATTCAAAGAAAAAGACTTCTGCTGCACTTTTAAGCTGTAGGAAAATAGTGAGATCAGAGTATTTGTTCACAAGGAGATTCTTTTGAAAGAGGTGGTAGCCAAAAGTTGAATGAAATTGTTCATTATTTTTTGAGTTCATGCATTATTTTTCTTTTCGTCTAGTAATTTTGTAATTGATCCTTATATTTATTGAAAAATGTGATATTTTAATTTCTAGTGAGCTGTAGTGCTCCTGATTTACAGAAGAGGGCAGTTTCATCAAATTTAAACACTTCTTCAGTCAGGAATCCGAGGTCAAATCGACACCATATGCAAAATACAGAATCTTCTTCCAAGCCTCCAGTTACTTATGGCAATAGTGTTAATTTAATTCAGCTGCATCCCTCTCAAGATGATTCAAAAGTTGGGTATGAATAATTTATTTCTCTTAGCTATATTTTCTTTTCTAAGAGTATGTGAATGGTTTTATGTAACTATTAAAAGTGTTCATTGCTAGTGACCATGAAGCAACAAATTCAGTTAGAATTTTGTGAAGTTTTTAGTATTTTCTATTCCATTGTAAAAGAAATATATAACTAGTATAAGGCCAAAAGAATTCTGTATAGAAACAACCACATCTAGGTCATGCATAATCATTCATTATCTCTCTAGTGGCTGAGTGATTAAAGTAATAAAATCCCGATACATCACAAAAACAAGATCTGGAACCGTCAAGGCAGATTTTAGATTGTTAGTTTAAATCGTGTTATAGATTACATGTAGAAATTATAAAATTAAAAATATGAGATGACATTTATGGTGTTAAATAAATCAAAATTTAACAAAAAAAGTTTCTTTTATGAAGTATTTTTTCAGTGAATAAGGTGTTCAAGCTGTTTCTTTTCTCCCACTTTTTCTTGTGCTAATACTTTCTATTTAGTTTTTAATGGAGAGAACTTTTTTTCAGTTATTAAATTCTGTTGTTCAAATCCTGTAATTGCCATGTCGAGAATTTCCACTTAATCTCATTTAAAATCGGAACTACTCTGATATTATTCCACAAACCTCCTGCATCATTCTACCATTTAATGTTGAAGTGCATGTATTATTTTATACATGTTTCTATTTAGCTTCATGCATTTTATAGTTTCAGCAGAAGATAGCAAAAGTATGCATCAGCAAAAGTATGAAGTCGCCAAATTTCTCGCCAAACATTTTTGGCGAGAAACTCCACGCTGCCATATTACTATCTAAAATTTTTGTCTAGATTTCGAACTTTAAGCCTAAAGTGCCTCCAAAAACGCTGTTTTTGCACATGCAAAAACCACATTTTGAACATACAATTGAAGCTAAAAATCCGAAACAAAAAAGTTTAAATATCATAAACGTAAAGTTTTTAACCAAAAATGTTTGACAAGAATCCATGTACACAGTGATATGTTTTAACTTAAAAAAAAAGTTACGAATTGCAAAATATAGGCAGCGAAGGAATCTACGAACTATGCACACCTGGCTTAATTAATAAATTAACATAACAACGATAAATTTCAAAGAATACCATGTACACAGCATCCTGTTTAAACTTTAAAAAACATCTACGAATTGCATAATCTAGACACTATGCACTAATCAACAAAATAAACTAAAATAACTAAAATAAATTTCAAACAATTCAAAAAAACAACAATAATGACAGAAAGTCATACTAAAAAAAACCAGTGAACATAACATTCTACAAAATAAGAAAAAGAATGAAATAAAATGCACTTACCATGAATTAATGCTTTTTCGAACAGCAGAAATACCAATTTCATACCGCCTTTAACATGCCGCCACGTAATCACTGTTGTATTTTTATGACTGCCAGACACAGTATCCAGAAAATTCATACTATGGTTCACAAATAAATAAAATCACAAATAATCACGAATCCCTACTTCTATCATGCACAGCCACTAAAAATAATCTCCCAGACCCTCTTTCCACTCCTCCAAACACCCACTGCCCCTCAACAGGATGGCCACAATGATATTTCCTTTTGCCGAACTTCAATTCAACAACTTCTACCATTTTAGATTTCCCCCTATCTTCTCAGAGACAGACGCGAGCTCCAGCGAAAGATTTTTCAACGTCAACAGGGTTGCCATACAACACGCAATTGCGCTAAAAACCAGCGCATAACACATATCGCCATATTTGGTGAAATTAGGGCATATATCAGAGTTGTACCTTAAAATCTTTTCATTCTCAAAAATATGTTTACTTTTTTCACTATCAGTAGTGATATTTCCGGATTTGAAACCCTTCAGTACAGATTTCTCCATCTGATTACCTGATTGAGGAATGAAGCATTGTCATCACAATGAAAAACTTCTGTTTCATCATTATCATTTATTATACTTTTTTCACATTTCTTTATAAATTCCATTATTTGGAAAATTTTGCCTTTTGTAATATCCAAAATCTATGCCAAAATAAAGATGTTGTTTTGCCTAATTTTAGGGACACACTTTCATAGGCCAGAATTCTACCAGTTTTGTTTTCTCTCACCAAGGCTGCCATAAAAGGCAAGTACCAAATATGCTTTCACTGTGCAGATCGTGCTACAGCTCCAGAGTTAGAAACTCTATGGGGTTTCCCTTGATTTGAAACTGGTTATGAGTCAAAACCCCTATCATACGTGAAGTGAAATATCTTTATGTCTGAAAGATACTACAAGGAAAGGCTTTTAAACAACCTTTTTATTTAAACAGACTTTAGAGTAAGTGCGCTTCTTGTGCTAACAAAATCAACCACAGCTCATGGTGATGCAACTGAAGGAAAGTCAAATTCAAGTAAAGCGTGGAAGTCAGAGATTACACAATTTGAATGTACTCTAACCTGGCTCAGTAATTCTAACTGGAGTGTCAAAATGAAATTGTCTGCTGCAGAGTAACACAAAGTTGAATAGTTACATTTATCAAAGCTGGCAGAAACTAAACGTAGTGTGCAGGCATAAGCCACAAATGTGCTGTGTCTTAAAATCCAAGAACCTCAGTTTAAATACTAGCTAACTTATTTACATTTTGGTGAAGAAATGGAAATGAGAAGTTATAGTAAACGTAAATTCAAACTACTAAATTTTGATAAGATACTTGTAATAATAATAACTTGCAAAAAATAATAAGCTAGATCAAATTAGAAAGTTAAGGAAGAGCTCAATATGCTATGTTAACTAAAGCGTAATTATTTAGGTCAGATAGAAAAATGTTAAACCACTTTGCAATCACTCAAAGGCTGAAAGCGTGCTCCTGCCTAACATCAGTCAGTGTATAGTCATTAGCCATAGTGGGTTTTCCTAGCCATCAGTGATGTGACATACAGGAATCTCATTTTCTTTTTAAAAAAATTAATTTCACACCACATGAGGTTTTTTTTTTTTTTTTTGCTTACGGTCCACAGAGCCAGATTTTGGACTAGTATATTTCTTCCCTCTTTCTATTCCTAGTTGAATGGGCTAGTTGCATTCAGTTTTTGTGTTTTATACTGTAAATGTAAATATTAGTTTCCCATAAAAAATCTTTGATGCAATCTGGATTTTAGATAGCCTTTATGTGCCTTGCCACTATTCATAAATACAATCCAGTTTTTCACTGATGAAATTGTTTCCTAAAATCTCATTAAATAAATTAGTAATTATTTGGATTAAAAAAATTCTGTTTTCCATATTAATACAAATAACTAGAAAGAAAATCCTGCTTAAAATGTCTTCATACAATAAATGATTAATAAGAGTAATATTTTCCCCCTTAAACAAATGCATAAGTTAGTAGTAGTTAGACTAACTGGATTGTTATAGAAATCTGAGTTTTTTAAAGTGACTATTTTCAGTTCAAATCATTGGAATTTAAGTCGTAAATTTTATCACCAAGAATGTAATCCAGAAATTAGAATATTTTCAATCTATTTCTTTAAAATGGTGAATAAATTCTGACATTTTTGATAGCTAGAAATTTAAAATGTGTTTATCTGTCCAGTGTACCAGTAACAATCTATAATTAAGTTTAGGCAAGTTTGAAAGAAATTCTCCAGTAATCAGAACTAAATGTTACCATTCGCATTCATAATTTCAGTGATATGGAAAATATTTGTATTGAGCATTTTTTGTATTAGTTAGCTAATATTTGCTTAGAAGTCAGGATCTCATTGCTACTTCTGTTTTGATGAATTGAACATTTGCATGTACAGCCTTCTATTATACTTAAAGAAGGTAAAACTCATGTTTGTGCATTTTCTAAAATTTTCATGATAAAATCATGTTACTTCTTACTGGACAGATTATTGGCCAGAACTTCAGTATTTCAGAATGTTGATTCCGGCTATTATTGGTTGGAGTGACTTTATCTCACCGTCCTGAAATTTTAAGTGAAAATTTGCACTTCTTAGCGTCTGAAACCTTCCCTATTCGTGGCTTCCTGCGTGATTATTTTATTACATCCTTGGAGATTCATCAAATTCGTTTTCATTTTCCCTCAACAGGCAGATGTATGAAATTGACATCACTGTTGATGTAATAATGAGAATTTTTGTTCTTTTTCTAATGTATTCCCTGCATGAAACACAAACATGAATAAAATTCTTGTAGAAATGACCTGCATAATAGCATCTACACGTTTCGGCAGGGTAACTACAGGGTTCGTAGCGGTCCTTACAAGTGCTTATAAGTCCTTATATTTGAAAATAGAATATAAAGGCCCTTATAGGTGCTTACTTTTTCTTTAAAACCCTTATATTTTTGTTTTTAGTGCTTTTTTTTTGCTTTTAGTGTTTTTTTTTTAATGAACGCGCATTTTTTACCTCGTACCAAAGCCGAAACTAAATAAACAACTTTTCTTCCTTATATGCAACGTCAGATGGTGAATCATACTCCCGGAAATTTCTTTTCCCCCCTTTCTCTCATTAACGTAACCTATGTGCGCGCGAGAGTACAGACAGGTGCACGTCGTTCTATTGGTCAAAGAATTGAAATGGTAGAAATTCCGTACATTCGGTTTCTTTCCCTCCCGCCCAATATTACCACGTTTGAATTTCGATCAAATTTTAATAATTTGCATTCCTCGTTCGCGTGGTCAGTTCATATCGTGTTTATTATGATCGTTATGCTTATATTATGAGATACGCATGAATATTTTTATAATGTAGTTGCAGTATGCTGGAAGTATAGATAAATTTCCAAAATGGGTTTTTTTACACAGATTAGCTTCTAAGGAATAATATCGGAATGGCTTAAATAAAAGGAAAGTAATCGAATGGTCAAAATAATTTCTTCCCCCAATACATTACGCAGTACTAGGTTCTCTCCTTTTCTGCAAAATCTCTAATATTGAAGCAGCAGACTTTTTTTTTTTTTTTCGTCACTGTCCAATCTGGATTGAATGGACTAAAGGTT